TAAATTAAGGAAATGAATAAATAAAAAATCGGGCTCCGTCATGGGGACATATCTATCTTTTTGCAGGTACTTGCCGACATTCAACTCTGTAACTGTCGTAGTTTTGGGATACGTGACACGTGTGTTTCCAAATTGCCAAATATATAATGAATGTATGGATTGATTCTCTATTCCACTTTTGTGTTTATACACTCCAGAATTTCAAAGAGGTGCGGAAACAGTGCGCATGGCTGGTGAACGGAAACGTCACTTTTTTTATAATGGCGTCTTAGAAGACGGACTTTCCAAAAATTAGATCTAAACGAAACTAATGAAAAACTGAAAATTAAACTACAGTGACTTATCAGGCTCCTCAATAAAACTGTGCACCGTTTAAATGATTCTGAACCGCCATTAATTTTCTCATAATCGAAAGTTAAGTGGTTTGGAAATTTTAGGCGGCCAAAGTGACAAACTTTCACAAATATAATATATATATCGAGAGATTATTATTATTGTTATTTTTATTATTGTTATTCTTATTACTATTATTGTTATTATTGTTATTATTATTATTATTATTATTATTATTATTATTATTATTATTATTATTATTATCATTATTATTATTATTATGATCATTATTATTATTATTATTAACATTTGTCGTGGGGGCAGGCGTGTTTATTGATAAAGTTACTTTCCTTGTTTGTTTTTTAAGGCCATAAGGAAGCGTTTCCCCATCCTGAATGTTCTAACAAGACTGCAATTGTTGTTGCCATTATGTTATTATACTTATTGTCATTATGTTGTAAGGCTGCACATTTTGTTGGGTTTTTTATTGTGTGTGCGTGTTTCCAGTCTTCTTCCTGGAAGTTTTAGCGTTCTGATGCTGTCAGATTGTTATACTGTCATACAGTGGGTGGTTGGCGGCTGCTCTGATGTGGTTTCCTCCTTCTTTCCCATCAAACTTCTTTCGTCTTTATCTCTCTCCTTCTTTTCTCTGTACCTTTCTGTCTGGTAACACTTTTAATTTTCACCACTTATATGATCTGTTTGTGTCGCAAGTGTCGTAAAACTGTTACTAAAACTAAAATCTAAAAAGATTCCTTTATCTAAATTGATTTTATAATGTCATCTTCTATAAATATCTAATTTCTTCAACTTTTTAAATCCAATTTTCCTCAATTATATTATTTGCAAAACAGTTTGATGAATTTTGATAAGTGTAGTTTTTTCTGGGTTTTTTTTTCCACTTGTCTTTTGGAGAGTTTTTTTGGGTTGTTTTTTTTTTTTGGGGGGGGGGGGGAGTGTTAACAGATGAGGAGAGAGAATGTAGATTGTCAGATGAATGACCAATTCCTATCATCTGATCTACATTTATGACAGCCTTGTCTGTGAGGACGTGAATGAACTGAATGAACTAATTGGGGCTAGTTTTAATTTGTGATATACAACTTTTTCATTTTAATATATATATATATATAATATATTATGATAATATACATCCACATAATATGTATACAATTTGCAGGTTATCTTTACCAACCTGCGCGTTACTTTTTGATTAGTTAATTTTGTACAGTCGTCAATAAATGCTGGTGTAATATCTGGTTAGTAATATTATTGGTTTGTGTTGATGATTTTTTTATCTGTTCTAATAATGATGGTGATGGTGATGATGATGATGATGATGATGATGATGATGATGATGATGATGATGATGATGATGATGATGATGATGGTGGTGGTGGTGGGTGGTGATAATGGTGATGGTGATTGGGGATGGTGGGGTGGTGGTGGTGGTGGTGGTGGAGGTTGGTTATGGTGAGGATGATATGGTAATGATGAAAGTGAGAAATTTTTCTTTTTAAAAAACAAATTGTAGGTGTATTTTTACGCCCCTATCGACTCAATTTCGATCATTTAATAATTATAATAATAATAGATAGCATTTGTAGAGCGCACATCCCCACTCAACAGCAGGCTCTATGCGCTTAACACTATATTATTACCCCAGCAGACCGTAGAACACTCTGAAACATTCTCAGCTTCCCGGGAAGCATACAGTGCAAGCAGCTGATTAAGCGCTCAAACACTAACAAACTGACAAGATCGTTCGCTGTCTATAGCAGGGTACCCATTCCCACCTGGGTGAAGTGAGGAAAATTCGTCTAAAGTGCCTTTCCCAATGACACAACGCCGGGTCCCTGATGGGATTCGAACCTACGGCCTTACGGTTGCGAGTCCGAGAGCCTAACCACTAGGCCACCGACACCACATTTTAGGAGATGGGTTTCCGACTCTGTAGCTGTCAGGGCCAACCCGGCCGACTATAATGACTTTGACTGTAATGACTATGACTATAATGATTACGACTATAATGACTATGACTATAATGACTATGACTATAATGATTATGACTATAATGATTATGACTATAATGACTATGACTATAATGATTATGACTATAATGACTATGTCTATAATGACTATGACTATAATGATTATGACTATAAGGATTATGACTATAATGACTATGACTATAATGACTATGTCTATAATGACTATGTCTATAATGACTATGACTATAATGACTATGACTATAATGATTATGACTATAATGATTATGACTATAATGACTATGACTATAATGACTATGACTATAATGATTATGACTATAATGACTATGACTATAATGACTATGTCTATAATGACTATGTCTATAATGACTATGTCTATAATGACTATGACTATAATGACTATGACTATAATGATTATGACTATAATGATTATGACTATAATGACTATGACTATAATGACTATGTCTATAATGACTATGTCTATAATGACTATGTCTATAATGACTATGACTATAATAATTATGACTATAATGACTATGACTATAATGATTATGACAATAATGACTATGACTATAATAATTATGACTATAATGACTATGACTATAATAATTATGACTATAATGACTATGTCTATAATGACTATGACTATAATGACTATGACTATAATGATTATGACTATAATGACTATGACTATAATGACTATGACTATAATGATTATGACTATAATGATTATGACTATAATGACTATGACTATAATGACTATGTCTATAATGACTATGTCTATAATGACTATGACTATAATGACTATGACTATAATGATTATGACTATAATGACTATGACTATAATGACTATGTCTATAATGACTATGTCTATAATGACTATGTCTATAATGACTATGACTATAATGACTATGACTATAATGACTATGTCCCAGCAGAGAGACACACTAGCTGCTCGTTGAAAAATTTCTACCCTTTTCGAAATCGAACTCGGGTGTACTGCATGTGTGCGACAGGGAAGCGCCCGCTGACCACTACATATACATGCCTCGGTTCAGCCACGGATTTTTTTTTCGTCCCCTCCTGCCCACCCACCTGTAATGGGTACCTGACTTCCAGTTGGGGAAGTAAGTAAAGGACTGATTTTTTTTTTCTAAAAAAATATAGGTTAACTGAAAAAGAATGAGATGTCATGACTTTGATGGATTTTAAAAAAGACACAAAAATTTTATATTTTTGAGAAATTAGTCCTTTACTTCCCAACTCGAAGTCAGGTACCCATTAGAGGTGAGAGGGCAAAAAAAAATAAATCCGTGGCCGAACCAAGACTTTTTGCTTTGGAGACAAGCGCACTAACCACTCCGCCACCACGCCACTGTAGGCTACAGGCTTTAAAAATATTGCAATAATTAGTGCTTTGGGGGTCGTGTTGCCACCGTGAACGACAACAAAGTGGGAATCCCCCAATGACGTCAAACAAGATGGTTGTAACTATAAATATCGGCCAATGGCGTACATCTGTCGTTCTAAAGTTATCCGCATGTCCTGACCGCTACGCACCCCGCCGCTACTGATATTTGGTATGACGATAATGAAAGGATGCAGATGCAGCAATGGATACGGCATAATAACTTTACTTTTATCCGCC